ATAAAAAAGACCTAGGGTTTGTTTTGTTTTAATTCATTTTTGTTTTGGTTGTTTTAAAACCAAAAGCCCAAATCTCCAATTTTTAAAAGGAGGCCCTACAAAAACCACAATGGCCCAAACAAGAAGCCCCAAAATTACACTTTAGTTAAACAAATAAAACCCACAACAACCCGAAATAAAATAGTTAACTTAAACTCTAAAACCCAAAGAATTAAATCCAAAAAGTAAAAATCAAATTCTCCAAAAATCTTGGATTTAAGATTTAATTAAAAATCTCCTACAAAACTCGATAATTTAATTTATCGTAATCCAATGAAATTAAACTTAAATTATAGTTTACCCAAAATTAGAATTCCAAGGTGGAAATCCAAAAATTTAATTACCAGCTTAGGTAAAAACTCAAAGGCACTATTTATCCCTTAAAATAAACAACCCAAAGAACGTGGGGCGTTACAGACTACCCACTTTAAAAAACACTTTTGTCCTCAAAAGTTGACCAGTCGCACACCCTAAACACTAGGGCGTCTCCTCGGTTTGGATTGATGGTAGCGTAAAACTCTTTCACCAAGGTCTCTGATACACGCATAGTTGGGGCAAACAATGTCTCCCAACCATTCTCCAGAAGCCTTCTTTTGATATATTTTGGCACGGGCTCTTGTGCTTCATCAAAGCCCTTCTCAACTAGGATCTCACGTGCTGTGAAGTTAACCCTTTTCACTTCCCACCTCACCCTTTTCGCCTTAGATGGTGTTTGCTCAATAGAATCGAGCTCCTCATCATTGACCTCGTCAAGTGGCTCTTCTGACCTTCTTAGCCCCTTAACCCTCTTGGCTTTTTTAAATGGTCCAGCCTCGGCTTCTTTTTGTGCGGCCAAACTTGCTATAGTGGCTCGGGTGCACGGCCTAGAATTTGCGCCAGGCACAATTTCATCAAGATTTTTCTTGTTTCGTGCTTTCTTCACCACTTTGGTCAAGCACACCTTCTCCTCTGAGGTATATGCAATAGCAACGAAGTTCGGGTCAGAAACATTTAAACTTGATAAAGAAGGGGACTTACCTTTTGAAGAAGATGAAGATGATTCCTCCAGAGCCTCATTAGGCACATCCACAAGACCGGATGCTCCTTCTTGCTCTTGTACATGGGACTCCTCATCATCTTGCTGTGATTCGTGCATCAGAGTTTGTATTCTCACTTCATATTGAGAGATATCATCTTTTTCGTCTTCTTCCACATACTCATCTCCATGCACTTCTTGGGGTAATTTCCCAAGATCTTCATTTTCTCCCTCAACATTTGATCTTTCTTATGCTGCCCCACTGTTTCCATCATCCTCCAATGAATCATCTCCCGTTGATTCATTCAACGCCACCAAAATTTCAGTAATTTTTTACGTTGTTCGTCCCTGTTCTAAATCATAAAAAACTAAAAGCGTTTTAGTCAAGATAGGATTTGGAAAAGTGGGCGACAAAATACATTGTAGAGTGGCCGGTGGAGTGTCCTCCAAAATTGCGCTAGGCGCAATTTGGCAGTGGATTTCGACCATGGCCGAATCTGAATGCTCCAAGGGTTCCTCGTCATGTTTAGAGTCTCCACTAACCTGCTCTTGACCTTCAACATTCATAGGAACAATTACGGAAAGAGGGGGAGGGATAGATAATTCTAAAGATTCGGAAATAGGGTTATCTTAATAAGAAGTCAACCTACGGCGTATACTCATACTGTTTAATTCAAGTTGAATTTCTTCACTCATTCTCCTTGAGTTTTCCATAAATTCTTGCTATTTTTCGTTTAGTTCCGCAATCTTAGCACAAATGCCCTCATTCTCCTTATCCCTAATTTCTTTCTTTTTATTTTCAATGTCCACTTTCTCATTAAGCCTAGCAATTCTTTCATCTAAAGCAGCACCTCTCTCATCCACATATTGATTTTTTTGAAGATAGACCTTGCCAAATTCTCCTAATTTCCTCTCACTACGACCTTGTAATGGCCCCGAATTTCAACAACACAGCTATGATAACGTTAACCATCTACCTGTACACCTTTGGCCTTAAAACACATAATGAAAACTAGCAAAGAGTCTATAAGGTCCAAAATTATTCCAATAACCAAGGAAATAGCCCCGCCCTCCGTGGACTAAACAAACATAAAATCCTGTTTAAACAATAGTCAATACTCGTAGCAAATCTAAGTGCACAAAAGATAATATCGACTCGAGGCGCTAAAAATGTTTAGACCCATCAGACAGCACCAAACAAGCCATCCTTAAACATCTTGCAACTAATTCGTCTATAAGCTAAAAGGAAATACGACTATCCTAAGAGAAGAAAAGAAAACGAGTGCAACGCAGCCTAGTGGCCCTTCCTCAGTTGGGCCTTCCCCACATCACCACCATAGTTGTAACTCACATCCTTACCTATGAAACAATAATTGCAAAGCGGGGGGTGAGTATATAAAATACTCTATATGTAGCCCTCACTAACTACACACCACCAGCATGCCAAACATACGATATGCAACACGATATATATATATATTAAACTAACAATTCAGATAGTCAGCAAGTTATAAGGTTGACAACACACGCCAAACATTCCGAATAACACCACTCACACCTCTTCGCCCGCTAACTCCTGACAACAGCAATTCCTAACCCTTGTCACCACCTTAATTTTCCATATCTCACTATTCACTTCATGTTGGTTCTTGACCTTTGTACCTAAGGCTTCGACGTTCATCTCTACCAAAGCTGGTGTATCGATCCCCGACCTTTGTACCCGGAGCCTCGAAACCCACATAACCAAGTTGACGTGTCGACCTCCGACCTTTGTACCCGGGGCCTCGACATTCATTCGTACTGAGACTGTGCCGCATCAGCCCCTACCTTTGTACCCGGGGTCCTGACACTCACTGGTTCTTCTTTCATAACATCCAAACTCCACGTATCATTTCTAGCCTCCAACAAAATTCTAGTACCAGCTCCCTATTCAGACTAACCACAACGTCTATCCACAACAAATCATCTAGTATTTTTTTAATGCATCACGGATCTCAATAACATATAATCTAACAACAACTAAGCTGCTCACAATATAGAGAACACAAAAGCTTCAACAAATAACATGTCAACATGCTTTACATAACGGACTTTTCACATAACAATTTATAAAACTTTTAAGAACACGCCCAACTACAACATATCCAACTCAATTCAGAAATACATCCAACAGTTTCACACAACAATGCTATATCTAACCTATTCACATACTAGATTCAACGTATATGTTCCACAGCTCATCATCGATAGGTCAATAACATTAGTTATAAAGAACCAAATCATCACACACACACACAAACAACAAGCAATTCATGCTTCAAAGAACACTCAACCGCTCAAGTAAAAACTACTTACAAAAATAGACAGTGACACTTTGCTAAAATCAAACCTCAACAGACAACTTCAGCATGCTTTTTATAATGTAACAAAAATAACCACAACTCTCACATGCCTTAAAACATATCTTTCCCAACAGGTAACTATTAGAAACTTTTAGCACTTAAAAACATTACACAAATTCAACCAATATCTCCAGCAACATAACGCTAGTACAAACGACCAACTTCAGATCATGCGTTTGATCACTATAACTAACATTTCCAACAATCATAAATACTCGAGATACATGATAAACAAAACAAATCGAGAAAACATTTCCAACAGCCCAAAAAAACACACACCCGCCCCTAGTACTACGTACCCACTTCCACGTTACTAGTTCTTGCATCGTTTTCAGCACCTATACAATAAAATGAAAAAAAAACAGCAAGTAATTATCAACTTTCAACGATGGAAAACCATTCTAAAGGGATTTGAAAGTCCGTTTACCACGAAATTAACTTCGTTTAGGTGTAGGCAACTTAGATCTAGTGTAGATAGGTGTGGGTAGGGTGAATTAGGCCATAAACGGAAATGGGTAATCGCCAAACACCAAGAAAACCAGCTGTTTGCATTTTTTACAGTAGTAGAATGCACCGAAAACGTCTTTACAATCGTAATCGTCGCTACAAGGGTGTGGAAGTCTCCCACACTGAGTTGAGATGGGTCGTTGGCTGCCACCGAACCCTCGAGATGTCACCCAACGCAGCAGACCATCGCGCCCATCTCGAACTACCACAAAATGGAGCAGGACGTCGTTGCTCGCCGAGTTGCCTACTGCGCCATCGTCCACCGGAGTGTGTTGTCGGGAGAAGTGCTGCCATTTGTCAGATATTGTCGAGGAGGCTAGCAGTAGGGCAAAGAAAGAGAAGGAAGAAGAAGAAGGTCGAGGGGGAAGGGATTTCACGTGAAGAAGAAGGGATTTTACTTTTAGGGTTTTTCCACTTTGTTGCCTTCTCCCATCCTTAGTTTGTTTCCCTTGCCAGTTGATTTAAACCACAAAAGCCCAAATTAAAAATGGGCCAATGGATTAAACTAAACTCTAAATTTCTTGTTTCAACTAACAGTCTCCCAAAGAGAAGCCGAAGCAAAACACTCAAATAAGAATAATTAAAATTCACAGGAAACTCATTCCACCCACCATGAGTTTAAAATAGAACAAACAAAATAAATTAAAATAAAATAAATCGATGTAAATCCAAGAAAAAAATTTGGGACGAAACTCGAACTCAGGCTTAACCTAACCTGAGTAATGAAGGGTGTTAGAAACCTTATTTATTAATCATAGCAACATGCAATTCTATATTGATTTTTTAGAATTACACATGGATTTCTTCTCTACGAGGCTAGGGTGTAATCTCTTAAACTTTTTTACACTTTCCACTACCCAAGGATCATTAGAATCGAGAAATACCTTTGTTCCAGGCATATGAGGTGGTTCTAGGGGAATCATACCCGGTGGAGCCGGTAGTGGAGGCATCATCTTCTTCTTCCCCTTCTCTTTGTCGTATGGCTTGGAGGAGGAAGAGCCTTCCATGGTTCTTGATCTCTTGCTTCATAATCAACACAAAAATTTCACCTTCAAACCCTAAGTCTACCCAAAAAGAGAAGGATGTGAGAGAATTTGAGATTCTTGAAGATTTCTTGAGAGAAAATTTGAAAACAAAGTGAGGGATTTGGGGAAAAAATCGCAAATGAGGGGTTTTGAAAACTTAGGGCTTTTTTGTATTATGTTGTAAAACATTGTAAAACACATCAGGGTTTACTAACAGGGCCTCTTTTGATTTAAAAATAAACCAAAGCCCATTTAAACATAACCCAAGTGAAGCCCACGAAAACCATGCTCCCTAATTCGAAAATAGAAAATTTTTCCTTAAATTACTCCTAGTGCAATTTTGATGTAGGAAAGATCTTGATCCTGCAAAATTCAAATGCAAAAATAAAAAATAGATTTGGTATTTACACAAAAAATCAATAAAGAAAATGTAAAAAGTTCGCAAAAAAAAAGATAAAAAATATTTTACATAAAAACGCCCTCAACACCGATCGAGGACTGTTCTCACTGTTTTTTCATGTATCTTTCAGTAATAAAGAGGTTTTGCCTCTATCAATATGCTCACCAACGTATTTCTTGACTCGGTGCCCATTTACTTTAAAAAAATGACCTTTCGAGTCACTTAAATCCACAGCTCCATATGGATAAACACGTTCAACTACAAACGGGTTCGACCATCTAGACTTAAGTTTACCTAGAAACAACCTTAATCTATAATTGAACAACAAAACTGAGTCTCCAGGTTCTAAATTCTTATCCATTATTTTCTTATCGTGCCACTTTTTGGTTTGTTCTTTATAGCATTCTCATAAGAAAACTGACGAAACTCATCCAACTCATGTAACTGTAGCAATTTTGCTTCACATGCAGTAATGTAATCAAAATTTAGTTTTTGTGTAGCCCAAAATGCTTTATGGTCTAAGTCTAACGGAAGATGACATGCTTTACCAAAAACAATGCGATAAGGGGGCATGCCTAACGGAGTTTTATAAGCAGTTCTATACGCCCACAAAACATCATCAAATTTAATAGCCTAATCTTTCCTATCCACATTCATGGACTTCTCTAAAATTGACTTTATTGTCCTATTTGATACCTCTGCTAATCCATTAGTTTGGTGTGATAGGCAGTAGAAATCTTATGGTGGATATTATACTGTTTTAACAAATTACCTACTACTCTATTTAAAAAGTGTGTGTCATCATCACTAATCAAGCACCTAGGTGTACCATATCTAGTGAAAATAAACTTTTGCAAGAGGATAGAAACTACCTTGGCATCGTTAGTCGGGGTGGTCAAAGTCTCGACCCATTTCGAAAGATAGTCAACAACCAAGAGAATGTAATTCTTACTGAATGAAGGCGGACACAAACCCATGAAGTCGATGTCCCATACATCGAACAACTCTACTTCCAATATTAGGTTTAAAGGCATCTCATGTTTCCATGTTAAGTTACCTGATCTTTGACAGTGGTCACAACCTTGAGCAAATATGTGAGAATCTTAAAATAGGGACGTCCAAAAGAAACCACTTTTATCTTCGCTGCAGTTTTACGTCCAGCGAAATGTCCTCCATATGGTGATTTGTCGCACGCCTCCAAAATCTCCTTATGTTCATGCTCAGCAACACACCTGCGAAGAATATTGTCACGGCCAAGTTTAAACAAGAAAGGTTCATCCCATCTATAAAACCTAACATCAATGAAATAACTTCTTTATCTGGTGCTTAGTCAAATCATTAGGAATTATACTTCTAACAAGATAGTTTGCATAATCAGCATACCAAGGGACTTCAGAAATAGCTAACAGATGCCATCCACAAAATGCTTTCTAATCTCACAACTATCATGCGGCAAAGAAGTAATCTAGATAAATGATCTGCTACTTGGTTTTCTATTCCTTTTCTATTTTTTATATCTAGATCGAACTCTTGTAGCAATAATATCCACCTAATTAACCTAGACCTGACTTTTTTTTAGCAAACAAGTATTTTAACATAGAATGATCCGTAAAAACTATTACTTTAGTCCCAATCAAATATGAACAAAATTTATCAAATGCGAAACAACAGCTAAAATCTCTTTCTCAATCACAGTGTATTTAACTTACTACTATTCAAGGTCTTACTTGCATAATAAATAGGATGAAGAACTTTACCTTTTCGTTGACCTAACATCACACCCACTGCAAAATCACTTGCATCACACATTAGTTCAAATGGCAAGTTCCAAGCTGGTTCAATTATGATGGGTGCTGAGCTAAGTGCATTTTTATGTGTCTCAAAAGCTTTCAAACAATTTTAATCAAAATCAAATGGTCGATCCACCTCCAACAACTGACAAAAAGGTTTAGAAATTTTCGCAAAATCTTCTATAAAATGACGATAAAAACCCGAGTGTCCTAAGAAACTTCTAACACCTTTTAGAGTAGTGGGAGGGGTTAGTTTTGTAATCAAGTCTATTTTAGCCCTATCGACCTCAATTCCTTTTCCTAAAATTTTGTGACCTAGGACTATACCTTCACGTACCATAAAATGACACTTCTCCCAATTAAGCACAAGGTTACTCTCTTCACACCCTTTTAAAACATTCTCTAAATTCTTTAAACAAACATCAAATGACTCACCAAACACGGAAAAATCATCCATAAATATCTCTACCGTGCTTTCTACCATGTCAAAAAAATAGCGGTCATGCATCTCTAGAAGGTGGCGGGAGTGTTACAAGGGCCGAACAGTATCTTCCGGAATGTAAATGTCTCGTAGGGACACGTGAACGTAGTCTTTTATTGGTCTTCCAGAGCTATTGTAATATGGTTATAACCAGAATACCCGTCAAGAAAGCAATAGCACTTCGTCCCTGTACGACGATCAAACATTTGATCAATAAAAGGAAATGGAAAATGGGCTTTTCAAGTTACTTTCTTTAGGCGACGATAGTCCATACACACTCTCCAACCAGTCACCATCATTGTTGGGATCAATTCATTGTCTTCGTTGGTTATTACCGTCATACCATCATTCTTAGGAACGCATTGGACCGGGCTAACCTAACTGCTATTTGAAATGGAATCGATCACCCTTGCATCTAACCATTTTATTATTTCCTTCTTTACCACCTCTTTCATTTTAGGGTTGAGCCTCCTTTGGCTCTCGATAGAATTGGTGGCTCCTTCCTCTAGGATGATTTTGTGCATACAAAATTTAGGGCTAATTTCTCTTATGTCCGCTATGGTCCATCTAATAGCCCTCTCTTACTTAGACAAAACCTCTAAAAGTAAAGATTCATGTTTATTAGTTAAATACGAAGAAATGATAACCGGCAAAGCATATTTTAAATGAGAGGGTAGAGGTTTCTTCTTATTTCTGGAGGTTCAATGATGGAAGATTGCAAGGCCTTCAAATCAGCTACTGTTGGCGGCAAAACCTGATGCAAATCCAACCACGGATCCATTGACTGTACCCGGGGGACCAATTACAAGAAGCAAAGCAAAGAAGGTTCAAGAGGTTTTCATAATACACTTCAAAGGCTAGCTAATGCACACGAGGAGACAAAGATTTCTGAGGCAAAAATTCTTTACAATGTTAATTTAATGAGTCAAGAAGAGAATGGAGCAAAGATGGCACGGGAAAAGTTGTCTATTTTGAGAGATGGCACGGAGGACAAAAAAGGTGTGCAGATTGGTGAACAGGTGCCTTTGCAGATTGAACCTCTTGGGAGTTTGTGATGTCAAAGCTTGTCAAATCTCATCCAAACGTAAAGCGCCTCCTACATGTGATTTCCAAGACAATTTAAAGCAATTTTACGTTTTTGGATTCACATTTAGTTGTCTAGTTTGATGTGCAATCATGTTTTAATTTGCATGTCTTATTTTCTACAATTTGCATTAAATAGGATTTGAAAGACTTTTGGTGTTCCTCATGTTGAACGACCCTTTGGCCTATTTAAAGGCTTGTAATCACCTTGTTTTGGGAGAGAAAAACATATTGAAATTCAAGAACTTTTGTTCCTTAACACTTTTGGTGTTGCTTCTTTCAAATCTTGCTTTAGGTTTGATGTTAAACCGATTCATTGGATTAGTCTCGATCAAGCTAATTCTGGAGTGAGTCGTCTTAGGATCTAGGAGTGWCYATCGTAGATTCTAAGTCCGATCTAAGAGTGATTCATCTTYTAACCTTACTYTTRGTTGGAATCATTCGGTAAGTTAGTCGTTTTTGTGAATGTTTGCAAGGATCCTAGAAGGACCTCTAGCTTTGTAAACACGAGCAACCTTGGTGCTTATCAAAACCTCAAAATTCTAAAATGTGTCAAAATTGCGCCAGGCGCAATTTTCACTTTTTCTTCTGCAGCCTCCAAATCTGATTCTAAGTCGTCCTTGATCATTTGCTGGAGTTTCTCCAAAGTTGCCCCTATTGCAGAGCACT